GTGGATCATGGGATAGTTAATTATCGTTGATTGAGTTACCTATAATAACAGTTAGCATTCTAGTATCGGAATGACACCATATGAGGATTTGTATGGTAGAAGGTGTATGACTCCTTTGTGTTGATATGATTCAGGCGAGAGTGTTGTGCTCGGACCTGAGAATTGTGCAAGAGACAACTGAAAAGATCAAGAAGATCCAAGAAAAGACGTGTTTTGAGAGTTACGATGGTGACTGGTGTTAGTCGAGCTTTGAAGTCTCGGAAGCACACACTGTGTTTTGTTGATTTATATCAGAAGTGGCGCAGCAGAAGCGTGGGAGAAGTAGCATGTTAGACTGTTTTACCGCTGTCGCTTGTGAATTTACATGACGTGGCATGTGCCTAAGTTGAGGAAGTGCATTTATTCGGATAGATGGTGTACAAGTGAGAGATAATTTGACTGTTGAGGCATTGCTAGTTCAAGTTGATGAACGAGAAGCAACTTCGAGGTAAAGAGATTCCTTTGGTGAAGGTAGTTTGGGAGGACCAGCTGGAGAAAGTTGGAATTAGGAACTTGGAGATCAGTTGAGGGAGTCGTATCCAACTCTGTTCCTTGAGGTAATTTTCGAGGGCGAAAATTCTTTTAAGTGGGGAAGAATTGTAACACCCCGAATTTAATCGGAATATTTTAATTAATTTATTTAATTGAGAATATTCGTATTTTTGGTGTTTTCGGTGGTTTTGAGAATTATTGAGGAATTATGCATATTTGGAGTATTTATTTTGGAATAATAGTATGTAATATGGATTTATTAATATTATTATGAATTAAAATAAATATAAGTGAAATAAGGGTAAATTGGGCATTATGAAGAGTTAGTAAGGGTGTTATGGGAAAAGACCAATTGTGTGGCCCAAGTCTAAGTTTGACAAAATAGAATTCTAAAGGTTTGAGATTCATTTTTAGTTAACCGTGAAAATAATGAAGGCCGGAGCTCTGAGGAGGGATCAGTGGAGGCAAAAGCTTCGGAAGGTTGCCGGAGTTAATCGTGAAAGCTTTGAATCGGCTAAGGTACGGGGAGTATCGCATTTCATGATTTTCTATGTATGTCTTTCGGTGTGTTTATGGTGAAGGTTATGATTTAGGGTATTTTGGGTTGATCGTGGAAAATTAAGGGAAACTGATAATGAAACCTTGAGGGTTGTGGTTAGTGGTTAGTATTCCTGACTGTTTGATGTGTAACATGAGAAAGGAAACCTTAAGCCTTCGTGGCAAAACCTTGGATTGTGATATGTTTGACCCTGTAGGAATAGGAATATTCAAATGTGAGTAACTCTGATGCGCTCAGAGCAATTGTAGGAAAATAGTGTTTTAGGCAGTGCAAATGTTGCTAGACTGGCCTAATAAACCATAGATTTGGTGTGGTGATCGTCGTATGACATTGGGGATGTTTTAATGATGTTTTAGGGGCATTGGGTAAGTAAACCGCATGAGTATTTTGATAGGAATTAGTTATGGTGCGTAGCAGAAGTTGTTGTCATCGCACTGTTCGCCTAGCGAGCAAGCCAGCGAGGGGTTCGCTACAAGGCTCGCCTAGCGAGCAAGCCAACGAGGATTTGCTAGAGGCTCGCCTAGCGAGCAAGCCAGCGAAGGCTCGCTACCATCTCGCCTAGCGAGCGAGCCAGCGAACATAGCAGAGTTCATGAATATTGATCGTGTGCAGCGATGCCGTGATGTTTGATTCTGGGATTCTTGTGATGAGTTACTATGAGTATGACAGTGGGGTTGCATGAGTAATAAGTGATAGTATGAGGATTACCGCGAGTGGAATTATGACGAATTAATATGAGGCAATTTGAGATGATATTAGGGATTAATATGTGAATACTATGTGATGATATGACGAATTAACATGAGTAGAACTGTGAAGTTTATGTGATGGATAGGCGATAGTGTGAGGATTACCGTGAGTATAATTTGATAAATTAATATGAGATGATATGGGGGCAGTATTATGAATTAATATGGGATAATATGGGATAATATGACTATGAGCTAATATGTGATTTATACGTGATTATATGATGACATGATGTGTGAGAATGAGTAATATGATAGATTATGATGATATGTTGTATGATGAGTAATATGATGAATTATGATGATATGTTATATGATGAATAATATGATGAATTATGATGATATGTTGCATGATGAGTTATGACGTATGACGAATATGATGAATGATGATGCATCATATGTTGTTATTATGAGGATTATTGTGACGTGTGCATCATGCATTCATGTGCATCTGAACTTCGGTTCAGGACCTCGATTACTTTGGCTTCAATCCCACTGTGTGGATGTGAAGTATTTTGATGTGCTCCGATCCTATTGATGGGGATCTATGGAGGGTTGAAGGCCCAGTGTCCATTGCGCTGTGATGATTGGTACCACATGCATTGAGTCTATGTTGCATTTGCATTTATGAGCCTTTGTGTATAAATTATGATGTTGTGGCCTTTGAGGCATATTTTGAAGGATATCAATGTGTTGAATATAACTATGAGTAATATGCCGTTGATGCATTAATTGTTATACATTGATTATTATGAATTATCTTACTCACCCTGCCTATTTGAATGTTACCTCCACGTGGGTAACGTGCAGATGAGCAAGTTTAGTCGTGGACGCCATCGAGGAGTATTTTAAAGTTTTAGAGCCGTTAGCCTTTATGGTTAATTTAGAGGGTCTTGCTCTGATATGTAACATCGGGTTGGGTTCTTTGAGTTGATTGTATATCATTGAGTTATTTTACTGATGTTCTCTTATGAGGAAAACATTGAGTTATGTTTTGAGTTTGACTGTATATGATGTTTTGATGTATTTTGAGAAAACCGTGTTACGGAGTATTGACCAATTTTGTTGACTTTGAGAAATATACGCCTTTTTGTGTCTTTTTAATGAAAGTTAATATTTTACTCTGAAATCCGTGTTATTTTTCCGTAATATCGGTGTGGTAGAATAAGAGTGTTACATAAGCACAACTCACCTTCTGACTCTCACAAACTTGTCCTTCAAATATTTGTAGGATTTTGAATGAGAATTCAACAACTTTATTCCTGCTAGGATGCATAAGGTCAGATAGCCACTTTTGGCGTTGGTTTTAATGCCATTGAAATAGAAAAATACCCAAATGGTAGGGAATACTCCTAATCGCTGACATATAATTTTGAATGCCCTAATTATACTCAGACTTTGGGCGTAATCTGAGAAGGAGCAACATTCACACTCGCTAGGAACTCAACTCCAAATGGCATAAAGGGTATTAAAACCCTTAAATCATAAATAACAGGAAGTCGGATTGAGAAGGAGCAACATTCACACTCGATACGGTTGTATTGACCCTATCTTTCTTAGAACACGGTTCCAAAATCACAAAATATTTATGTCTAGTACTGGAAAGTCGGATTTACCGTCGAAAAACAATGATTCTCTCCTCATTAGAGTACAAAGACTATAAGCTTATGACATTGAAAAATTTAGCATATGTCTCTACCATCAATTCCTGATAAAAACAGGAAGAGTAAAAGAATCACTATTAAAACTACCAGAGCTCTCAGGGCTCTAGAGGTCCAATTCACGACATTAGTGCGCAACCACTCTTTGAACACTCTAAAACCTTAACAAGTTACCAGAAAAAATAAAAATAACAAAAGGAGGATGGAAACATACCTGCAAACACAATCAAGAACTTGTGAAATTAGTGTATTTTGTGCTTATAAGAACTCGTAACTAGATGAAAGTTTAAATGAAGAGAATGCGAAAAAAGATTAATGAAGGTAAGCCACAATCCTTTTACAGATAGGGGAAGTCCAATTGTCGGGGTAACCTACCACCTCCGACTGGACATCTCAATAATTAAAAGAAAAGGAAAGATTTCTCACGTGAAAGACATGCGTAAAGAATTAAGGCTGAAATTGGCTTTTTGAGGAAAAATCACCATCGACCGCGTTTAATGCAACATATGCTTTTACCTCGACTGACGTTTGAGAATTTCCCTTAACCGACATTTTGGGATTTCCCTCAACTGTCTAACATTTGAAGATTCAATTTGTTGATATCTGGTGGTGTACCCCTGACTAAGCTTGAGGGTCTTGCTCCCAGGTCTAGAGGAGTCGTCCCATACTTGAAAGACTCATCCATACAAAAAAAAAGAATGCAAACTAAACCACTTCGCTTTTTCTAAGTTATCATGCTTGAGGAATTGTGTGTTGATATCTTTATAAAGGACCCACAAATGACAACACAAAAGATTCACTAAAAAAGGGCGGCAAAACGTGTCACCTACACATGCTTTCTAGCCGCCCATTTAGGGGAACGACCGCTCAATTTTCAGTATGTCACTTATTTCTTGAATTATTCATCCAACTCTTAAAAACGTGTGAAATTATGTGTCCTAATCCATGTGCAAAGAGAAAATCAAAGAGAAATATCATGTCCTCCTAAACGAAAGTTAACAATACAAACATTATTTTTTACAGTAATTTTATTTTTTAAATTTTACAATGCATATACTTGTATATTTATATCATAAATCCAAATACAACCTATTTTTTTTCATTGAAAATAAATTATAATAGTTCAGATAGCATCACAAATGTTTGTTTTTTTTACATCATTTACTTTAAAAGTTAAATGTTTCAAAAAATAATTAATTAAGCTTTTATTTTTCTACCTTAGGCCCAGTTTGGTGAAAACCAGCACTTGACAAACCGGCGTCGTTTTAGTTAGGTTTTTTCAATAACCACAAAAACCATAGCAAACAGAAACAAAACTCACTCCAAGCAGCCATAACAGAGCCACGCTTCCCTGCCGCACCCTAACCGCCGTCCGTTCCTCCCTCCCTCCCTCCGGCAGCCGTTACTGCACCATCCAACCTCCGTCACAGTTCCCAGCTATTCACACACTCTTCACTTTCATTATACCGATTTTAGTAGTTCAGTTTCGCTGTTCTCAAAATGTTGCGTAGAAACGTCCGTTTGCGGAGAGAGTATTTGTATAGAAAAAGCTTAGAAGGAAACGAACGTGCGCTTTACGAGAAGAAGCGAAAAATTAGAGAAGCTCTTCAAGGTCTTCATTCATGCGTTTCATTTACTCTTTTTTCAATTTTGTATTTTTATCATTTTTAATTTTTGTTGATTTTGTTTTTTCTGTAGAAGGGAAGCCTATACCAACTGAGCTTAGAAACGAGGAGGCCGCGCTTCGTCGTCAAATTGATCTGGAAGATGAAAACACAGCTGGTATTGTATTTCTGTGTTTATTTCTTTTTCAGGGTTTAGGGTTTAATAGTGAATATTGTATTTCTATGCTGTTTTAAATTGTTGATATGTGGTTGATTAGCATAACCATTAGTTTTTAAGTAATTATTACTCTTTAAACCTAGTAGTTCAACTCAAGTTGTTAATTAATAGCATTCAGTTAAGGTTAAATTGATTGGCAGTATCTTAGTTTAATCCATGGCTAGAACAATTTTGTCCTTGAACGGTAGTGTAAAAGATGCAATTCTAATTCACTTGAAGGCAATTCTTAAAATGACTGTTATTGGCACTTTAATAACCTCTAATTTAAGTTTCTACATAATAGACTTTATTCCAATCTGAGCCAATATGTTTGTAGCTTCTCAATGGAAGCTATAGATAATAGTTTATAGTTTTATTTAAGAAATGCGAAATTTCATTTAGAAAGGTATTTCATATGCAAGCTGAATACATCGTAGATGAATTGTCTAAGTCATCGCATATGTTTTACTATGAGATAGCTCGTAAAAGCCTTGTAATTGAGAGCTATATACTGCTTAATAGTATATTGGTGTTAAACAAATGGCTTTATTTGAGTTTTGAGTGGAAAACTGAAAGAGTCACTTTTATCAAATTTTTAAGTTACAATTATTTACTATGAAAATAGATATGGAATGCCAGAAGGCTTTTTGAGCCTTTGAAAATTTGATTTTTGTTGCAGCTTTTTCTTTTATAAACCTCTCACACATCATATATTTTCTCACTTAATTGTGCCTTTTAATATGGGATTAAATGATGTGTTTTGTGAACTTTTGGGTTTTAATACTCTGTACTCTATTGAATTCAGTCCCAAGAACTCACATTGATGATGAGTATGCATTTGCTTCTGAGAAAGATCCTAAAATAATGCTGACTACATCCAGGGACCCAAGTGCTCCTCTTCAACAGTTTGTAAAGGTTTGCCTGTTTATATTGTATTGCTGGTTGTTTCAAATATTTTAGTTATGCTTTCCCTTTTTCCGATTGTTGGGGCTATAACGACAACTTACTGAATACCAGTATCTTAAATTCCTTGTGTAGGAGTTGAGTATTGTCTTTCCCAACGCTCAAAGAATAAACCGTGGTAGTCAGGTTGGAGCCTTTACCATTTTATCCCTCCTTTATCATTTTCTATGTGTATGTAACATGGACACTTTATTATTTGGTGGTTTGTTTTCTTATAGCCCAAGAAAATATAGTTAAGTTATAAAAGTTATTTGCAATTAGAGAGATAATATGATTAATATCATAACTTGTGAGAACAATAAGGGGAAATTAGGATATAGTAATTTATTTTCTAATGTGGCTTTAAGTTATTTGTTTTACTAATCTTGGGATAGTTGTATGTACGATCTGGTCAAAATCTTATCTTTGCTTGTCAAACATTTTGTTGGTTTTAGCAAGAAAATATACGTACATCAAATAAAATATAATAATTTGTTAATGCTAGACACCTTGAACAATTCAATTATAGTTGTACTAATACAGTAATACTTAATGATCTTCATTTTCATTTCAGGTTATTTCAGAGATAATAGATGCTTGCCGGTCCCACGACTATACAGATGTAATCTTGGTTCATGAACACCGTGGTGTGCCTGATGGTTTAATTGTTTGCCATCTACCTTTTGGCCCAACTGCATATTTTAGTTTAAACAATGTGGTAAGTGTTAGTCTTAGGTTAACTACAATTTATAGATTTTAGGAGGCTATACCCTAATTTGTTGTTTCTTGCAGGTTACAAGGCATGAAATTAAAGACAAAAAAGCTGTTGGAACTATGCCTGAGGCTTATCCGCATGTTATTCTCGATAAATTCTCAACTAAGGTATTCATCTCTTATTCACCAGACCATTCTGGTAAACGTTGGTTTTTCAGTATCATTGGTTCATATCTTATTCAAATATAATCTGGAAAGATTGTGGTTCAAAAGCTATTTTTTAAGTTTTCAAAACAAGTAGCATAGATGTAAAATTGTCCGATAAAGGGTTTATCGTGATATCCGTAGAAAATGGCTAAAACATTGTGAACACTTCATTTGGAGGAATGATTTTTCTAGGACTGCCTGAACCAGTTTTAGCAGTAGCTGCAAATGAGTCAATCATTCAACCCTGTTTCAGTTTTACTATTGAATTAATCACCCACTAAGCGCCAAGAAGAGCATAAATTAAGAGTTACACCCACATATGAGGGTGTTGTGTTAGATGAGTAGACTTGCATAATATTAATATATTAGGAGACCATATTAGAAACTAGTAGCAGCATCTATTGAGGAAAAGATAGTAAAATCATGCCTATTGATGGTTTGGCCAGATGAGAAGATTACCTGTAAAACTAGAAGCCCCTAACAGTAACAGTTCAGTAGATAGAGGTTAGTCCAGTAGTTTAAGATAAAGGAAGTCTGAAGAAAACTCTAAACAAAACTTTTGAACTGGACTACAATATAAATTACCTCTCCAAGACTTGGTTGATGTTGTTGGATCCATATAACTGACCCTGTAGAAAAATGCTTCGTTGTTTTAGTCTTAAAAGATTATAATGCTCAAAAGTTGGGAGTTAGATTCCAAATTCTAACACAGATCTGAGCTGAGAGGATTCACTTTCAACCATTTTAGCACTAGCACTCTTTATTAATATATATGCTTTTTTTGGGTACCTTTGTTTGTACTCGTCAGTATTTGAAATAATAGATATTATAACTAATATTTGAGTTCAGTTCAATTTGGAAAAGAAAAGCTGCTCTATCACTTGAGCTCAGGTCAATTTGGAAAGGAAAAGAAAAATAATCCTTTTTTGTTATTTCAATTTAATTGGTAATAATGTTTTAAAATTCAACCATAAAACAAATAAAAATTAACACATTATTGAGAGTCTTGTGACAACAATAAACATCATGTATAGAAGAACTTTTTCGCATATTGCGTGATAAGACATAAATATAGCATGAAATATTTGAGGATATACATACAAATGTTATCTAGTTAACTATTCGGGGATGAGTATGACCTCCATCCCCATTCTCAAGCATTTCCGTTCCCAAAGGGAAAACTCCTTGCCCTCGGCGCTCCAAATGGGGCAGTCCTCACATAGATCCCCACTTGGAGATACAAATCAACATCTCTATCTCTAAGAAATGTTTCTTCAAACAACAACAACCAAGCCTTATCCCACTAAGTAGGATCGGCTACATGAATCAACTTCCGGCATAATGTTCTAACCAAGACCATGCTTCTATCCAAATTGTTAATCTCGATATCTTTTTTAATATAACTTCCTCTACATCTAACTGTTTGACCCCTTTGCATATAACTTGCACACTAAAATATTTGACATAAATAGTTACCTTCTTTAACACTAGTAACTCTGCTTTTGGCTAACTGCTCAAATACTTTCATTAGGACTGTAAATTTCAAGGGGAAAGCACTGTATACATTTGAAAATATTTTAAATAAAATAATTACCATCGATAACAAAGTAACACTTTTTTTGTGCCAAGGGCTGACTGCTCATAAAATTTCTTCTGGGCTGTAAACAGTTAGGTGAAAGGACTGCCAATATTCTAAAGTATCTGTTTCCGGTGCCAAAACCTGACACAAAGCGTATTGTCACTTTTGCCAACAATTTGGACTATATCTTGTTCAGGTTGGTTACATTTATTCGATTTTAAACATTTAGCTTTCTTTACAGTGACTTATTCAAGTTCTGTTAACTCTTGTTGGGATTCATTTTCTTCTCGTTTGAAATATTGTGTCTGCTGCTGCATACAGGCATCATATATATGAAAAACGTGGGGGTCCTAACTCTGTAGAATTGAAGGAAATTGGTCCACGGTTTGATTTGCGACTATATAAGGTCTGTGTTGTGATTAAATTCACTATTAGTTGCTTTGTTTTTAGTAATTTTATGACAGGATTGAAGGAAATGATCTTTGTTGTTCATGCCTCCAATTTTATTGTTGTTTTCTCAAACTTATTTGAAGAGTGATCATCAATGCCATTACTTTTCAGAGTGTAGTCTAATGTAATAAGAGATTCGATACGGAAAACCTGTTCCTCATGTTTATGGACCCTTTTGCAGATAAAATTGGGAACAGTGGATCAAGATGAAGCTCAAACAGAGTGGGTCCTCAGACAATACATGAACACTACCAAGAAGCGGAAGTTTCTTAGTGATTGATGCAGTGCAGATGGTGGTGGTGGTAGCGGCGGCAGGGCAGATGCAGCTAAACCATATTATTCACTCTTTGGTTCACACTTCATTGAGACTGTAGAAGAAAAGCTGAGAATTTTGGAATTGAGATTATTTGACATCGTCACAACAAAAGTACGAGAAAAATGAAAACTGTGCTTGTTGCTAAATTTTGGATGTAAATTAATTCATGAATTTTCTTTTTCATTCTTCTGTGTTGTGTTATGTCATTTACTCATGTGTTAAACAACTAAGTACGTGAGTATCTATCTATTTAAAATTTTTGACAGGTTATCTTATGTTTTTAATAAAATTATTGACAATCTATTTTTGTTTATGTTTCAAATAAGTATTATTAATTTCTTAATATATATTTTAGGAAAAACTTATTATCGTTGGAAAAACAAACTTGTGCAAAATTAGGTGTCATCCATCACATTTTGTCGTATGCACGATTACTGGTGCATTCTTAGGGTCTCGGGCCATGGCAATAAATTTATACGGAAAATATGACATTAATGTTTCTGGTATTCTATTCCTATACCTACACTGTATATACATTATGTTTATTATATTTATGAGAAACACTTTTTTAAAACATTAAATAGGAAAATAATTTTTTTTAATAAAATATAAAAAAATTGTAAATGAATTGATGATATTAGTTAATAAATATTCAAATATTAAAAAAATATTTTAATAGTAAAATCAATTTGGTTAATGAAAAATAAAAAATTTAGTTAATAAAATGATAAAGTTGGTTAATATATATTAGACATATTAAAAATAATTTTTAATAATAAAATAAAATATTGATTAATGAAGTTATAAAGTTGATTAATTACATATTTTTATATCGATATTCCTTAATTTAATAATAATAATAATAATAATAATAATAATAATAATAATAATAATAATAATAATAATAATAATAATAATAATAATAATAATAATAATAATAATAATAATAATAATAATAATAATAATAATAATAATTTTTATATTTTAAGAAAAATATATTTATTACTACAATATTTCAAATATATTTAAGAAAATCTATATATATTTTACATAAGGTCCATGAGAAGTGACAATTTATAAGATCGATTATATATCTCTTAGAATCTGAATTCATTCGACGTTATGTTATGTTTTATCATGATGTGTTGTTCTGAGAATGGAGGCTTATATAGAGAGCTCCTCTGAAATGTACGCATTATTACTTTGACACGTTTGAGTTCCGTTGTACGAATAAAACCTACAGATAAAGAGATTTGTGATGGACCATGTTTCCATGAGAAGTCACGATTTATTGGACCATGTTTTCCTTAGATCCGATTTCATATCGTATGTCAAAGTACATTACAATGATCCATGACTCGTGCCGATCTCCTAGACGTAGGAGAAGATAGAAAAAGGATGCTTTGGTAAGGTTTTCGATTAGTGATTGTTTGAGTTGATGAACTAAAGAGACATGTTTCTATGCATGGCGAACTGTGTGAACTCAAGTCTTATCTCTTTCCCTTTTGACTTGAGAAAGAATTGGTTAGAACCTTGTAGAGCCGAGTGAACCCATAAGATAGAGGAACTCACCGAGATTATTATCTCACCCCATTATTGTTGTTGCTTTTCAGGTATTGTTGCAGGTTTAGTTTGCAAGTGGAGCTATGCTTGAGTGTTTCAAGGGAAACCTAGTTTATGTTTACTCCGATGTGTATTGTGTATCTCGTACAATGAAGGATATTGTACTTATATCTTAATTTTATTGTTTTGACACTTTCCATATCTTGTACCATAGGTTGTCTTTTATGTTTTATAAATGGTCAAATATGTAAATTATGCCAATAGACACTTATGATGGTGTGAGTACCAAATGATAATTCTTGTATTATGTGATTCTAGACATATATCATACAGGGTGTTACACAAGAGAATATCAAGTATCATCTATAGCATCATTCAACTTCATCAAAACCATAAATTTCGAATAAGTTCTTTTAGTTTTCGGTAAATTTCGAGTTTTAGTGTAAATGTGTAGAAATTAATGATCAGGGTTAGAAATGTGTACAAATCACATGTAACATAGTTTAGACTTAGTGTATAACTTGTTTGTTGGCTGAAATTCGTGATCATATCATATTTTTGTCAAATTGCATGTGGTACATTCGACATTGACACAACTTCTGAGTTGCAGAACATTTCGGAGATACATCTCCGGAATTGTTCCGTGTTTCATATACTTTAGGGAATTCTAGAGACGCATCTTCGGAATTATTCAACGTTTTAGTTTAATGGTGCTTCCGGAGATGCATCTCCGAAATGTTTCAACATTTTAGTTTGTTGGGGCTTTTGGAGATGCATCTCTGGAATTTCCTGCAGTATTTTTTTAAAACTTTCTTGCTTGTGTGTGTTGTTTGTGTGCACTAATGATATGTCTTACTTTACCTTACAAGCATAATGACTGATAGAGTTGACAGACTGAGACATAACATGGTTGCTCAGCACACATTCGTTCGGCGGGAGCGGAGCCAACAATATCTAGAGGTTCCCGGTACCTCTGGTCAGGCAGAGACGTCGACTTCTAGTACGTCGTCTACTCTTGGAGCTCGTGTTTCACCTCAAGCCACTCCACCTTCTTCTTCTTCCCTTAGGAGACGAGATTCACCATCTGACACGTCACTTCCCTCATCCTGCCGCAGGCGCCAGGATTCACCAGTGTCACATCCTAAATATGATGTTGTTGTTTCAGACCCACCTCCCACTGCTGATCTAGTGCCACCTCCGGAGGGTGAGGCTGATGTGGATGCCGAGGCAGACGGTTTTGAAGGAGGTCTATATGATTTGTCCTTACTTACTCTATATCCAAACCACACTGTCACACATATCTGAGACGGAGAGATAACATTTGTTGGATTCTTTATTTTTTTATCATTAATTTTAATTGCGAACATTGATAATTTTTGACATTGATTATTTCTGACAAGTTTCAGGAGTGTGATCCCAAAAGTTTCTTAACTGCGGGAGAAATGCATCTCCAGAACAATTCAAATGTAAATGGTTTATGATTGACATAATTTGAATGTTTAAAATGGTTCCGAAGATGCATCTCCGAAATAACGTTTATATATAAATAAATGCGTCTGAAAATACATCTCCGAAATCTAAGGACATTTAAATAATTTTGCATGATGGCTAAAGACAATCTAAGGTGCATTAAGAAATTATTTGATTATAACACCCTTCAATTGTAAGAATGTACATACTTTTTATGTATTCTCAACAATTTTTATGGCGGTTTTTTTAGTAGCATGATATGAATTTACAAGGAATTTGTTTTTAACTGACAATACATATGTGCATAAATAATGGATTGAGTTTAATTTTTTTTTTTTTTTTTACTTCACTAACCATTCTTCTTCAATTATTTCCAATAGATGTAATGCATAAAAAAACAAATATAAAACACTAAGCATTGTTTATGTTTGAATTATTTCCCGTACAATATATAATTAATTCACAATAAAATATTATAGTATAAGTTGGTTATTAGTTGTTAGATCATACATATCCTGTAGTATGATATTGTTCATGTTCATTATTTGCTCATTAATGAAAAGATAAGGGTGTGTCGAAAATTTTGATTATTTAAAAAAGTCAAGTTGATCTAAAATGAATGCATGCTTATGTCATAAAATAGTAAAATGTTGACTAAATATTTATGACAACTTATTTGAAGGATTCTGCTATATGGACATCAGGATCCAATTTTCATATTTTGATGTGTGGAGAGCTTATTGAAATAAGCTATTCTCAAAAATAACTTACAAGAGCGCTTTTGTCACAAGATGTGTCGAAATATGATTCTATCGCCCCTCTAACAATGACACAGAAGCTTCATTTTGTGAACAATCTTCGCAACTTCTTGAAGAAGATTCTACCTGAATCGGATGATGAACTGACCTGGAATAAAACCCGGGTTCGCTAGGTTGAGGCAACAGCTTTTCACCATTCAACATTAAGACTACAGATGACATGTTTGGTCTATGTTCTGGTATTTGTTGCACACATAGCAGACCAACATGAACACATCTCAATATTTCACATGGAATTGTTGTACCATGGAATAAGCCATCTATTAACTCTTGTGCCTTTTCTTCATTCCATAGTCTCCATGCCTGAAATCAATGTTGCAAATGTTTTATCGTTATATATTTTTTATACTGTTAATCAATCATAACCGTCCTATCATAAAAACGTCTAATTTCAATCGTAATTACGTTTAAAGTTATACGTATGAATGGTTGTGATTTTTCAACATGTCAAAATTAAACTCTTAGATGGTTGTAGCAAAAAATATTGATCCAAGAACAAATGAACTATAAACTTACATGACCAAGAAGATTAAGATTATGATGATGGTCATAGAAGTTTCGGTTCTTTCTCCCACTAATTATCTCCAGAACAATTACACCAAAGCTAAATACATCTGATTTGATTGAAAACGATCCATGAATAGCATATTCAGGTGGCATATAACCACTGCAACATAACAATGAAATTCGAAAGTCAATGTAAGAGGATCGAGGAGTTAAAGGAGTGAAGTTCTAATTTGATTGAAAAAGAAAATACTAACATAGCAACTAAACACTAACATTTGTCTATCTTAAAAAAGAAACTCGGTGTAAAATGGAATTGCAACATTGTGGGCCGATATAGCTCAGAGGTACTTACTACGTTCCCATCAATCTATTTGTTTTGGACTCATCTTGATCTCCTCTAAATGTTCTAGCTAGACCAAAATCTGATATTCTTGGATTCATATCATAATCAAGAAGAATATTACTTGTTTTCAGATCTCTATGGATGATTCTTAATCGAGAGTCTTGATGAAGATAAAGTAGTCCTCGAGCAATCCCATCAATAATTTGGAATCGTTTTGCCAGATCTAATTTTTCCTTTCGTGTTGAATCTAAAAGAAAAAAAGAAGCTTTTGTAGTTAGCATAGTAGCTAAGTAATAGCAAAGAGTAAAATGAAGTAAACATAGTTTGCATAGTGTGAAGTTTCAAACCAAAAATGAAATAATCCAAGCTTCTGTTGGGCATCAATTCATAGACCAAAAGCTTTTCCTCTTGATGAATCGAGCATCCAAGAAGTTTTACAAGATTACGGTGCTGAAGCTTCGCCATCAACATAACTTCGTTTTTGAACTGTTCTTCTCCTTGTTCAGAATTTTCCGATAGCCTCTTCACTGCAATCTCCAACCCGTCTTCTAATATGCCCTGACAATAATTTCAGAAAACTCTGACACTTCGAAATAAAGATGATTAACGAATCACCAAAAATGAGATCAAACTCTTCTCAAATGAGTAATATCATTCGTTAATATTCATTGACTGATATTATATGCACATGCATAACAAATTACGAGTGATTAAAATATCAACAATTTTATCACTTTTAACTGAGGCTTTTCTAAATGAATCTAACTACCTTGTATACCGGTCCAAAACCACCTTGTCCTATCTTGTTACCGTCTGAAAAGTGATTTGTAGCTTTAGATATGGTTGAAAAACCAAATAAAGTTGATAATTGCACATCTTCCTTCTCTCTTTCGCACTTCCTATGAAATATTTTTAGCATCCCTAAAATTGAAGGAGATACCAATTGAATTGAAAAAACTTCTCTTCATTCTAATATTGGAAACTTGGAGTGTATCATAGTTTTACATTAAATTCACCTGGCTTTGCAAGCTTCTTCCTCTTTATATATGTAAATGTGACCAATCCGAGAATCATGATGAATAAAGTGATTCCTCCGAGCGCCCCTGCAAGTTTCTTGTTGCTAAAGCTCCACTCATTTCTTCTATGATCTGAGCAAAAAAATAAAGTATTCTTCATGAACAATTAAGCAGCAAGAAGCTTATTGAAATTGCATGTTACTTAAACTAAAAAGTTAATTAACCCGGAAAAGTTTCAAAGAAAAGTGATAGTACCTAACTCAGAAGCTGCAAGTCTTACGAAAATATCTTGTCCTTGATCAATATGTTTTGTCAAGTCCCTTATCTTACCAAACCAAAGCAAACATCCACTATTACTTTTAACATCTAGATTTGCATATGCTGAACAAGAACAATTTTGCAAACACATTTTTTCACATTCCTCGAGACTCAAACTCTTATTAAACCAAGAAGAAGATGTATCTGGTAACTCAACTCCTGAATGCTTCAAAAACCAATCTCCGATACAGTTTAACCTTACTCTTCGAACACATCCACCAGACCAATCCAAGGAATTCCACTTTTCGTAATACTTTGGTACAAAGCCTTCCAAGCATTGACATGTTCTTGGAGAGTTTGTAATATTGCAAATAGAATTAGCATCACAGCTTGAATAATATTCACACTGATCCATTGGACGAGTCGATATAATCTCCCAATCTCCTTCTCTATCTGACCATACCAGTCTTTGAGCAAAACCTGACGGATTAAGCCATAATCTAGTAATAGTTTCATTTTTCAAAGTTTCATACTCATAAGAAACTTCTTTATCATTGAACACTAAAGAAAATTTGAATAGTTTAAGATTCCTTAGCCATGAAACTCCGCCGAAAGCATAACCGTTCCATGATCCACCTCTACTAAATAAAACTTTTCCCTTTGTAGTAACTAGTTGAGGAAATCCATGAACATCTATGTGATAAGAAAACTCACCAAGAGAAGGATCTTCAACGCTTTTCCAAGATGTTAGAGACCTGTCAGGACCATTTAGCAAACTAGTCTTAAGTTTCATTCCTGCAAGAAAAGTGTCACCAGGGTAATCAAAACTCTCCCACAAAATCTTCTCTCCATCTTTCACAACAAGGTTTCCTGAATCTAAAAGCGACAAGACCGGTTTCAAGACTGGTTTCTCCGCGATTGTTGATGCATTGGAGGACCATACGATCCTTCCAGAATCATCAACAATAATAAGAGTTCCTTGATATGTTAGTTTCGGAATTAGTGTTGAGTTTTGTATCGGAGAATCTCTATTGGCAACCCAAACATAGGTTCTAGGCGATATGGTTTTGTACCATATACCAAAGTATTGGAGTTGCGAATTTGCAAAGTTGAAGAATCCAGCTTCAAAAGTTCCAGATGAAGATACCAAAGTCTCATTACCTTGGATAGAATCATTTGGTGTAATAGTAGTAAAAGTTTCATATTGTATAGATAAAGTGGGAATAATAAAACAGAAGAAGAAAGTGTGAAGCATTAACATGAGAACCTTGCATATTTGCATTGTATGTAGTTATTAGCTTCTATGTGAATTTCATCAAACATTGATTTGAAGAAGAGGTTGAGTAAAAGTCAATAGCATAATTGAATAATAGAGATGAAAGTTGAGACTGCAATTAAGGACTGGCATGGCACCTCAAGGATAAAGGTTAACTGTATGTTACAATTAATTGGGGACAAGTATAAGAAATTGAATCTGCTGCAGTCAAAAAACAACAGATTCGGATTGATTTTGATTGTTCAATCTTAGACAAATGTTGAAGACTCTTTAGTGAAAGTATAATAATGCTATCAACACACTTTCCAATACATTGCATTAAATATTAAGGTCCCATTAAATATTAAATTTATGCGTGGCGCACATAATTTAATAAAACTCAGTTGATGGTTAATCAGTTATCTAATTTTGATATACTCATTAACCTATCAAACAAGTTTTTAAACATTCCTTTTACAACACTAACATAAGATTACACACGCACATCACGATAATATTCTATTTTCTATCTATTTTATATTTTATAAGACTAAGTTTTAACACATTTTTAGCAGTATTTCATTCATATCAGCGACACAGTTGGATCCTATCGAGCCTCTAACAATGAGATTGAAGCTTCGTTTAGTGAACCTTTTGAAGAAGATCCGGTGCTATTTGTATTATCTTTTCCAGCGTAGAACCCAGGCTCACTAGGTTTTGGGAGTGGCTTTTCACCCTTTAACATAAAAACCACAGATGACATGTTAGGTCTGTTTTCTGGTTTCTGTTGTACACACAATAAACCCACATGAATAAATCTTATAATTTCTGAACATATGGTTTTATCGTATAATATGTCTGCTATTAACTCTTCTGGCCTTTCTTCAATCCATAGTCTCCATGCCTAAAACCACATCAAAGTTACAGCAAGAGTAAGCTCAATCTTTACTCAATTTCATTTTATGTATTGATAATTGATAAATCCTGTGTAAGAAGTGTCATAAATAAATAAAAAAACATAAACACCTCAAAACTTACATGACCGAGAAGGTTTAGATGATGTATAGGGTCACAAAATCCGCGATTCTTCCTACCGCTAATTATCTCAAGTACCACAACTCCAAAGCTAAAAACATCAGATTTTATTGAGAAAGATCCATGCACTGCATATTCTGGAGGCATATATCCACTGCAAGAAAAAACATTGAAGTTAGGGAAAAAAATATTAAAAGGGGTTATAACAAGGCAGAACTGAATGTTTAAATTACACTTTAGTACCTATAACAAAGACTAAAGAGTTATTTAAGCCTATATTTTAGGAATTCAACTGACAAAAATGTTTCATGTAAACTAAAACAGAATTCAACTTTAAGTACAAAGACTAAAGAGTTATTTAAGCCTTAAATTTTAATAAATAAGTGGAAATTACTATGTTCCCATCACTCTATTTGTATTAGCCTCGGCTTGATCTCCCATAAATGATCTGGCTAAACCAAAATCTGATATCTTTGGGATCATATCAATATCAAGAAGAATGTTGCTTGTCTTGAGATCTCTATGTATGATTCTTAGTATAGAATCTTGATGGAGATACAACAGCCCTCGAGCAATCCCACCAATAATTTCCAAGCGCTTGGTCCAATTTAGTAATTTGCTTCGCATAGTACCTGACAGATTTCACTTTCTTAAGTTAGCATGAGAACTATATTTTGACAAGAGAAAAATTGAGATCAATAACTTTGGATGGTGTGTAAGTTCCAACCAAAAATAAAGCAATCCAAGCTTTTGTTGGGCATGAACTCATAGATCAACAGCTTTTCATCTTGTTGAATAGAACAACCAAGAAGTTTTACAAGATTACGATGTTGAAGTGTTGCCATCAACTTTACTTCATTTTTGAACTCCTCAGTTCCTTGTTCCGATGTTTTAGAAAGCCTCTTTACAGCAATCTCTTGGCCATCTACCAATATGCCCTAGTATTATTTTTAAAAATTTTAGTACTTCTAGAACTTTCTGAAATAACGGGATAAATTAACTTGGTAACCGAGGCTTTACCTTGTACACTGTTCCAAAACCACCTTCTCCTAACTTGTTTCTGTCAGAGAAGTTATTTGTTGCATTAGTGATGGTCGAAAAATCAAATATTGTAGCCAAATCACCATCTTCCTTCTCCATTTTGTGCTTCCGGTGAAATAACTTTTTTATATACCCTGAAGTAACAATTTAAGTTGTTTAATGTTCACAGTAAAGGAACAAAGCAATCAAACTTCAGAGTTCATTGTAAGTTGAAACTAATTCTGTTTGCCACACAATTTTAGTAAATCATAAATATATGAGATTTACTTATCATAACTTTTTCACTTGGCTTACCTAGCTTCTTTCTATATGCTGATGTGACCAATACAAGAACAGATAGTCCTATAATTGATGCAATAACCCCTGCAAGAGTCCCAGCGAGCTTCGAGTTGCTGTTATTCTTTTTATGATCTGAGGGTTGAAGTAAGTGTCAGTCAACAAGCAGGTATAGAAGCTTACTAAAAAGAAGATAAACGGCATCTATAGAGAACAACACAACTTCAATTGGAAAGTTGATTCATAATCAACTGTTCTTAGAAATAGGTCAGCTATTTATTTGAAAGTGAAAAGAGAATTTTAGTGTCACATAATTTCAAGTTTTCAACAGTACTTAATCTATCAAGACAAATGATGAATTATATAAACTTGAGCTGTATATCTAACTGAAATGGCAAAAGATGTAATAGGAAATGAAAATACCAAGTTCTGAAGATGCCAGCCGCATGAAAATGTCTTGCCCTTGGTCTGGATGTTTTCTCATGTCCACAATATTGTCAAACCAATGTAAGCAGCCACTCCCACCATTTCTGATATCTAAATTTGCATATGCGGTACAAGAACAGTTTTTCAAACACATTGTCTTGCATTCCTCGAGGCTCAAGCTCTTATCAAACCATGATGATGACGTATCTAGCAACTTCATGCTTGGGTACTTCAAAAATCCATCTCCATGGAGACAATTTATAGGTGTTTTTCTTACACACCCACCAGACCAATTTGACAACTTCCATTTTGGTTGAAATTTTGGCATGAAACCTTCCAAGCATTCACATATTGGAAAGTCATTAATTTTGCAATTAGAGTTGATACCACAAAAGGCATAATCATCACACTGGTCTGCAGGACGATTAGCTATAGCCTCCCAATTTTGTGTCCTATCTGACCATTGAAAACGTTGTGAGATTCCGTATGGGTCTAGAACCACTCTAGTAATAACTGAACTGATCAAAGTTTCATATTGGTAAGAGATTTCTTTGTCAGTGAACACTACTGAGAAATTCAAGACTCTATGCATTCTTTGCCAAGAAACACCCGTGAAAAGAAATCCATTCCATGACCCTCCTCTATACATGAATGTTGCTCCCTTTGCAGTAACCAGTTGAGGAAACCCATGTGTATCTATCCTATATGAATACTCACCTTCAGCAGGATCTTCAGGGTTTCTCCAAGATGTGAGATATCTATATGGACCAGTAATTAAATTACTTTTCAGCTTCATTCCAGCAAGGAAAGTGTTACCGGGATAATCAAAACTCTCCCACAAGAAATCCTTATTCTCAATGCTGCTGTTTGCATCTTTTACAACAAGGTTTCCTGAATCCAACAGCTGCACCACAGCTGGTTTCACCACAACTCTTGATGAATTGGAAGACCAGATTATGCCATTGGAACCATCAAGAATAACAAGAGTTCCCTGATCATTGAGTTTCAGCATTGCTGTTGAGTTTCGAACTGGGGTATTTCTATTGGCAACCCACACATAAGCCCTAGGTAAGATGTTTTTGTACCATATACCAAAGTATTGGCGTTGTGGATCTCCAAAGTTGAAAAATCCTGCTTCAAAGGTTCCAGCTGCAGAAACAAGTGTATCACTGTATTGGATAAACTGATTTGGAGCAATAGTAGTAAATGTGTTCAGTTTAGAGAAAGTGGGCGTTGAGCAAAGGAAGAAAGTACACAACATTAGCATTAGCACCATATCATGGTTCTCCATTGTGTTTGTGTGTGTTCATCCTCATCATTTTCATTTTATTGAATTCCATTGAGACAACTTAGTCCAAGTCTTTCCATGTAACTCCAAACAGAGAACGGCCCAAGTAGGCAAGGAAATAAAGACAACTTCCATTTTTGTTCTCATATGCAAACAACTATGAAGCAAATACACATCTAGGATTAGGCATGTCGCAGTGTATGCCACGATTCGATGTCCAACACTTGTATGACACTCCTACGACATGTGTAAGACAAGTGTCCCCAAAAAAATGTTCTTTTTTTCTTTTCGTTGAAACTCTTTGCAGTGTCCGACACCCGGATGACACTCATATCACACATGTCAGACAATTTGGAAAAGTGTTTCAAAAAAATTGTTTATTCTTTCACACCTTGTTTTTTATTATAATATTTTGTACTTCTTTAATTATAGATAGATAAATGAAACTCAATTTTTTTTTTGAAATCTTGATATGTTGTCTTGCGAACGAATAATCCAAGAGGACCAATCTCACCGTCTACTAGCGGGGGTTCCGTTTAAAGCCAGAGTTTTGCCCTATATGAACTGACCCAACATAAGGATTGTTAGCACCTAGTAGGATTTGAACTCAAGACCTTGAAACTCAAATATTTATACCCTATATGCAGAGTGTCAGTGTCCTATATTTTTGACATTATCGATGTCGGAATCTCTGTGTCATGGGTATCCATGTCGAATCCGTGCTTCATAGACAAACAGACGAGACTCAAATCACCATATGTATATGGCGGATTTTTAGGTCGCGGCCACCCACCTGTCATCCACAACACTTTCAAATACAACTAAGACCAAGTCGTCCTCATCATGAAAATGATGTAAGGTACAAACAACAACATGAAACCTGTGATGTACTACAAATTGAAGTCATTTCAATTTTGTTTATAGAGTTGCCTATGAAATGGGGTATTCCGATTGAAACAACTTCCCATAAACGTGTGCAGTGCAGAGACCTCAAGTATAACATAGAGTGATAGTGATGATTGAATTAGTCTGTGGTGTATAAAATAAACGAATTTTTCAAACGATACAAATATAATTGTAAAATTTTAGAACTAACTTTGAAATTTACCCTACAATTTTCATCTTCATTATCACCTGAACCCTAGCAGAAACCAGCGGCAGGCGCAAAGAAACGATGCCACCGCCGTCGAGATCAAAAAAATTCCGGCGGCGGAATGAATCAACGAACCCAATCGAAGCATTGTTTGTTCCTATGAGTTGATGAAAATTTCGCGCCAATAATATGATTACAAAGCAAAACATTTTAGATAATTAATTACAAAAAGAGAAAATACAACTTTTATTTAAAGTAACTTTTAGATGATTTCCAAATTATTAGTTATTTAATAATCTAAACGTTGAAAAAGTGATTATCTTTTCTTTGAAATAATGTTTCTTTATAAAATTAGTTTTACCAAATTGATTTTAAAAAATTGAAATTAGATATTGTTCTACAAACGAATTAAGAAGTGTTTTACCAAATTGATTTTAAAAAATTGAAATTAGATATTGTTTTACTAACGAATTAAGAAGTGTATGAGATTGGACTTGTGAGATGCAATATGGATTATAGTTTTTGATACAGTGAGAGAGGGGCTAGTGTGGAAGGTTATCATTTCAACCTTCAAGTTAGTGTATCAATAAGATAAGTGAATGGAGTTTGAATTTGAAATGTAGTCAGAAAATGGTGCACTTCCTCCTTATATAATAGAGCAATTATAACTACTTGTTGATCTTAAGGCCTAGGATATGGAGAATCGTTGGATAAATCATAACTTCACGTTAACTGCGAACTAACCCAAGATAATACTCCTACTCTTAGGGTGACTTGGTGGATTTCTGCCTTCTTTGGGCCGCGATTGTTGGGCCTAATGTCTGATCCAAAATAATTGCCCCCAAGCCATTGCCTCTACTTTGTATTGAGATGGCTTTGTAGCATTTGTCCTTCCCCGTTGTCCATCATCTGGCTTGAGTGGAAAACCAAAAGGTGTCATTGATGTCATTTGGAACTAGCGCCTTAAATATGCCTCACATTCCGATGTCTTTTCGTAGGTCTTATCATAATTATCTTTGGAAATTGAAGTACTCGAGTATTTTTCTGAGGCGATTTGTGATGTTGATAGTGCTTATTATCTTTCTTTTGGTAAGTCACCACACGATCTCAAGGGAGTCAGTTCTATAGTTGCTTGCGAAGTTACATTTGCTTCTTTGTCATTTGTATTCCAACAATATACTGTTTTTTGTAGTCAAGGGAAATGGTGTCTATCATGAGTCAAAAATCGAAAGAGGATGGTTCTACTTCTTGGGTTGAATTTGTCATTTCAACAACAATTTCTACCTTTGCTCGTGAATGTAATATTGGAGTTTCTTCCTCAATGTGAGTCTTTCTTCAAATTGAAGTGTCTCGTCCTTTGAGGAGGATAAAAGGAATTGTAACGAGTATGGAGAATATGCCATTACTTTCTTTGAATGTTGTTTTTCAATCTTAGGTCTTCATTTTCCTTTGAACAGTTTCGAAATAGAAGTTCTGAACCACCTAATGATTACTCCCTTGCAGTTGAACCATGCGAGTTAGGCTTACATTAAAGTCTTTTGGTATTGATGTGATTATTTGGGAGGAAGGCCCTATTTATCCCTTTTCTTCCATCTTTTCATAGTACAATGTAGTTCAGTGAACCACGTGTGAGGCCAAGGCTTAATCATATTGTTGCAGATTAGCCATTGTTTCGAAGTGTTTTTGGACAGCGTAAAGCCTTTCGAAAATCAATTCCTTTTGGTTGCTCTTTTACACAAAGAGGATCATGCGACATTATGCACCATAGGAACCAAGATAAAAAATAGGTGTATCATTTTATTTCATAAGTATTGGAACTAAGGTAACTTTTTGACAATGAATGAATAATACAGTTGTAAGGAAAGTTTCCTATCCCAAGAGGAGCTTTATCTGGCGAAATGAATGGCCACCTTCATCAAAGAGTTGGGTTACATTGAGAGTGACATTCCCCGATATGAGACCTCGAAGAAATGCTTGAAGAGGCTTGTTGAAAACTGCCTAGAAATTGACGCTCATACAAGGAAAGTGAGGAATGTCATTTTTTTGTGAGCTCCTAGTGTTTTTATCCTCTGTCGTCACTTTTGTTACTAGCAAAATCCTTATCTTTTGGTAATTTTTGTATGTATATTCTATGAAGAATGAGAAAATAATTCTCCAAATGAAGGGGGAATTAGAGTTTCCCAAGCGGTCACCGATCCTTAGAACAATCCAATGTCGGTCAACGCTCCTCCTTCAACTAGAATGGAGAGGATTTTGCCTCAGCCTTCTCAACCAGACTCTCGAGGGGGACGGCCTGGGGGCTTAATTTTGACGTCGGTATTCTTGGTGATTCCCGAAGAGCATCGTGTACTTCGATTCCTTCAGCTTTTGTCTTATTGGCTAGGTCGAGGCCTTGTACTCTACAAGAGCACCATGCATCTACTTTTAAAGAGGACTTCTCTTTCCTTTCTAATATGACTGACAAGACTCTTGAGGTGGAGTTGTCAAATCTAGCATATTACATTCTCCGAGCTTCTATAGTCTAGCCATTGATGAGGCCGATTGTTGGGATGTTATTTTATCTAATTAACATTGTAAAGAGAGATGACTACTATATGAGTGTGTATGTAACTTGACGCTTCAACGGGACACATACCTGCAAGAAGTACACAAGGATTATGTTACTCTTACCGAGATAGATGATCGTATGAGTACCTTCAATCTTCTTGACTTGTTAGTTGACCAGGTAAAACTCTTGACGAGGGAAGTAACAAAGAAGGATATAATTATAGCCTCTTTCGGGTCACTATATCCATTACAAAGGCATCTTTATCCGTTATTCAGAAGGACCTTGAAAACTTGCACCTTCATAATGCCTCTCTAAGACAAAATCTAGAAGAATCGCCCAATGTCGGTCTTGGTGCCGTTTCTAAGTATTTTGAAAATGATTTACTGCAAGTAGAGCATTTTTTCTCTCCTACACATTTTTCGAGTGAGAAAATACGGCCGAACCAGGTAGTTAAAGATGGAAACATTGTTTCACTTAAAGATTAGTTGTGTCCTGGTTTTTGTTTTGTAATGTAATACCCTGCATTATGGTGAGTGAGTATGAATTTGACATTAAGATATTGTTTCTACCTGATTTAGGTGTACGATTGTATCCTAAGTTAATTACTTTAGGCTTTATGTTAACTTACGCGGTTCTTGCTCAAAGTTTATTGGACATCTTTAGATTTGTGTCCGACCAAGGGTCGATACCTTTTACCCCTCCCCCAAGGTGAATACCTAGTCCGAGTTGACGTGTGACATACCTACCGAGGCCTCTAAATTAGTTATCTACCAAGAGGGGAAGACCGATTATAGCCAATTTAGTGGTTTTCCATTTTCTTTGTGTGTATGCTTTGCATCGTGGAGTTTTGATTGATTTAGTCATACGTTTATGGAATATGTGATAACACCCCCTGAGTCTTTGCGTTGGGGCTTCAATCTCTTCGGTTTTATCCCGTACTCGTCATTACCTTTCACGGTCACAAAGAAAATAAATATTTTTGAAGAATGTTTTGTTCATTAAAATTGAAATATTGTGGTAAGGTAATCAATTACACAGAGAAACAACAACATAATGAGGTTGTAAACATAACCAGGTGGGACTGCTACCGCTTATACGCCTTGCATGTGTATCTTGTTGAGTCTTACACTCTTGCTTACTTGGTCGGTCTGATATGTTCTAACGGAACACTAATAGTTTATACTACTTAGTTGCCTGGGGATGGAACTTATGTTGATTTCCATGGCCTTGCACTTTCCTCCATTTTGTTCTTGTTGCAATTACTGGTAGATCTTTTTGGCTCCTACGAGGTTAGCATTGATTATGACTAGATCACTGTGAATATTATGGAATTTTAGATTAAGGTGGATCGAGGAAGCCATA